CGCCGCCGCCGCCGCCTCCGGGCCCCCCCCACATGCCCTCCGCCTCCCGCGCGTGCGCCTCCCACAATCCCCCCCGCGGGACTGTTCCATTCTTGTCGGCCGCAGGAGCTGGGGAGAAAAAGGCAGGCGAGGGCGCGCAGAGCTTGCCGCTGCCACGGGAATCACCCCGATGGCGGACGGAGATCTAAGACTACTTACCTCCCGGGTCGCGGCGGCGGGGTGGCGCCGCGCGCCTCCCCACTGCTTCTCTGGGCTGCCCCGAGCTGTTGGCTGGAGGGGCTTGGCGCCCCTCCGCTGGCGGGCGGTTGGAGTCCGCGGCGGCTGCGCGTTGAGTAGTTTCCTGCCGTCTGACCCGAGCTTGCTCCTCTGCAGCCGGGCGGGCGCTGTGGAACCGGCCGTCGGCAGGGTCTGCTCTTCTCCGCGTCCGGAGACCTGGCTAGAGACTGTCGGTGAAAGAGGGAACGGGGGTTGCACCGGTGAGGGAAAGGAGCGGGACCCCGAGCCTCCGTGAGGTAGGGAGTGAGGCCAGTGGAGCCGGCGACCCTCGGGGGCTTCCCACCGGGCTGTGTGCGCGAACCCGCGACGGGGGAAGAACCTAGCGGTGGTCCGCCTTTTTTTAAAACCAGCTTAGATTTCTCAAATTTCACGTCTATATGCGATGATGTGTTTCCTGTACACTTTGACGCATTCCTCGTGGAAGGCTCATACTTCACTCAGGCAGCCTGGTGTTAGAGGTATTACCGTTCACAGTGCTGTTGGTGTGATGAGGTTTGTGGGTGTAATTGGTAGTTTGCGTCCTAGTCTTCGAAATTGTTAACAAAACAATGCAAAATGAGGTCTCTCCGATTTCTACTGTGGCGGATATTTGTTTCTTAAAACTGCAGTAGCATTTACTTTCTTTTGATGATTGAATTCAAAATTCTAAGCTAATAAAATACACGGATAATCCCAAATTTATCTTAATCTGGTAGTTCTAGGTTTCACCCAAAGGGTACAGCCAAATAAATTAGGGGAGGAATCCTCTTTTCCTTCACATTTGTCAACTTTAACGAATCCAATGATAGTCTGGAAAATGGTTAGAAATAATTGATCAAGTCAAGCTCTAATGTTCAAATAGACTCTCCTAAATTTCCCCTTCATATATATTTCAGTGTATGGATCAGGTTTTGTTTGCTTGCTTTTTTTTTTTTAGATAAAGAGGCAAGAAGCCTCAGTTACTCGCTATATATTGGCTTTTCCTAACCAAGCCTTAAATCCCAACTCTTTCATGGAGCCGATTTAGTTTTACATTAATATTGTGTCATATATGTAACTGTTTTACCCTAGGACCACTTTCTTTGAGGGCAGGGACAATGTCTGACATATTCTTTATAGTCAAGTGCAGTGCAAGTCTTGGAAATACTGAAATTAATGTTGGATTCTTAACATGTAAGAAGGAAAAGAGGATAACATTTATGGAATTCTGTGCCAGCATGATGTGTTTTTAATCTAGTACAGATAATAAAACAACACCTTTAGGTCATCTAATTTAGGTCATCTAATCCCATTTTACAGATAAGTAATCTGAGGCTCGAGAAACTCAGTAACTTTATCTGTAGTTTGCTTGTCTCTTAATCTTTTTCACTATATGATATTACCTTCCTAGTGAAATTTCTCATTATAATTGGATGTTCCACAAAGAAAAAACACTTTTAATCGAATTTCTCCACACCAGTATATAAAGTATCAACTAGCGTTCACTAACTGCACTGATTCATGAATTGTCAGTTAATTATAAGCAGATAAGTACAATATTATTCTCTATTGTGTATGCCCCAGTGCCCACCCAACGAAAATTGATTAAGTGCTCAATAAAATGACTATATTGAATTAATGAACCCTGATTTGAACCAGAGAAGAAATGGAAGACAGAATAATGGTTCCTTCAAAAACGTCTGTGTCCTTATCCCTGAAGCCTTATGATTATGTTAAATGGCAAGAGAGAATTAGGATGCATTTGCAATTAAGGCTGCTAATCAGCTAACCTTAAAATAGGGAGATTATTCTGAATTTTCTGGTAGGCCCACTGTAATTACAAGTTTTGAAAGGATGGAAGGGAAGAAATCGAACTGTCAGTATCAGATTGATGCACTGTGACAGAGATTTAGCCAGCTGTATCAGACTGAAGGTTAAAGAGCAGCCTTTAAAAACTGGAAAAGTCAAGAAAACAGATTTTCTATTTGAGCCTCCAGAAAGAACACAACTCTGCAGACACTTTGATTTTGGGCTTTTAGAGCACAGAGCTCGAAGAGGATACGTTTGTGTTGTTTTATGGCACTAAATTTGTGGTGATTTGTTAAAGCATCAATAAGCAGTTAATACAGAAAGGGGAGACATGATTAACCTCCAAAGTACTCTGCTTCGGATTGTGGTTTTGTGCTTTAATTTAAATGAGGGTGTAGTTTAACTGAAAATTTTTCTTTAAGCAAAGCAATAGGCATGCAACAAAACTGCCTGATTTGTGTTACTTCCCCTCTGCTCTGCTTCTGCCATTAGGCCTCCAGTCTACACCAGCACTGTACTGTGTGATACTGCTTCACAGCAGCAGTCTTAACTAAGCTATTCTGAAAGACTTCTCCACCAGATTAGAAATAATTGAACATTAATTAGGAGTCAATTGACAAGCACTTCCTTGTTGGGATGTTGTAAAGATACAATATAACTGCAGGCAAAAAAAAAAAAAAAAAAGACCCTTCAATATAAACTTTTAAAATAAGGCTTCAAATGTTGAAAGAAAATTTTTTTTTTTTTTTTAAAGATTTATTTATTTGTGCATAGAGAACTGGGGTACAGGCCAGAGGCTCAGGGGCGGCGAGAGGCTTCACCAGAGACAGAGTGGGGAGCAGAACAGGCAGATCTACGAAGTACACTGCTGAGGGGAGCAGTGGGCAGGCCAGGAGAGGTCTGGCTCGCCATGTGGTCGCGCAGGCGGCAGGCGGGAATCGAACTCATGCGGAAGTGGCTTCAGATTCTCAGTGCTGTGCTTTAACCCGCTGCGCCACCAGGGAGGGCCTGAAAGAAAATTTTTAAAGATAAAACAGTGGACCATCATCAGGGTTGACTTTTCATTTGAGAAGTTATGGAGAAGTGCTATATAAGCATAATAAGCTGTAAATGATTTTGTTTAACTAAAGGAGAAATCTAAAATAATTGTGTGCCAAGATTTTTAACTCATGCTTCATCTTTTCAGGAAATTTAAAGGTAGGTACATTCCAGACTGCCAGGATTAAAAGCCTACCTCTTCGACTTGGGTAGAAACTTGGCAGTAATAGACTATTATTTAGAAGTTATTTAATCCCTATAACAACTCTCTATTTAGATAACTACTATTTCTACCTTAGAAATAAAAAAAAAAGACAAAATTTTAGTAACTTGCTCAAGGTCACGCGCTGTTAAGCCAGGAGAGTCAGGTTTCAAATCTGCAGTTAGATTCTAAATTTCGTGCTTTTTTTAACATTTCTGCCACACTTGTGTGTAAATGGGAGAAAATAGTATTACCTACATCATAGGCATGCTGTGAAGATAAAATGAGGAAAAATACATAAAGCATTTAGAATAGTACCTGACTTAATGAAAATGTCCACACTACACGTTACTGCCTTTACTTGAGTATTTCGGAACCCTAAATTTTTTTCCAAGGTTCATTATCAGCTAGAGGAAAGATAACATCAAGGCAGAGATACTTCTTACTTTAGTCTTTACTAGCACAACCCTTTTACCTGTTTTTACATGTTAGTATTATAAATGTTTTTCATTTTGGTAGATGTTCTTTACTAGAGAGAAAAAAGTCTAGAGAACACTCCCTGGTTCATAAGTTGTTTTACAGGTAGGTAACTTGGACTCAGAGAGGAAAAGAACATTTACAATCTTAAAACAATGTTATCTTTTCCTGTAGAGAATGTTTTGTGAACAGTACTCATCTGAGACCAGAGGGTTTATTACACATTCCCAAGGTAGAAAGAAGATAGATGTGTTTGTGAACTGGAGACCCTCTGTTTTTAATTATTCCCCCTCAACTGCAGCCTAATACAATTTAGTGTATTAAGGTTTTCTATATAGGGAAGTATAATTCATACAGAATAATGGTTAACTTTAAAAAATTTAATAGAAGTTTGTTGATTTAATTTTTTTTTAATTATTCTTTGTATAACAGCAACGTGGTTCAGAATATAAAAAGTACAGAGGACACTGCTCTCCACTTTGCTCCGCAGGGATCTGTATCCTCCCTTTTAAGGCAGATAGTATTAATTTTTATGAAGTATATTCTTCCAAATATTCACCATTTTACAGGTAATTTCTTTCCGTTTCATCTATTCCCCCCCCTTTTTTTTTTTTAAACACAAATAGGGATTATTCCTCATTAGTATGGAGAAAGTTTCTGGGGTTTTTGTTCATAAAAGGCTGTATAGTGTGCCATTATATGGATATACTTTTCCACTGTTGACAGATTTTAGGTTGTTTACATTCTTTTAATATTAGAAACAGTCTTAACAGTTGAGTAAATTCATATGCACAGGAGCCACTATGCTTTTATGCCACTATAAAAATAGTTTTGCTTAGGGCCTCCTGGTGCCAAGTCTCAGTGCTGTTAGTGCTATGCCCTGAGTTCGATCCCCAGCCAGAGAGCTGACCCACACATAGTGCAGCAGATCTCTTCTGTCTCACCCTTTGCTCCCCTTAGCAGTGTATTTCAGGAAATCTACCTGTTCTGCTCCCTACTCTCTCTAATGCATCCTTTCAACCCTTAACCCCCACCACCTCTGGCCTGCACCCTACATCTTCTACACAAAAATTAAATTTAAAAATATGTTTTGCTTAAGCCTCGTAAAAACTTTTTTAACATGAATACCTTACTGAAATTTGGACAGTTTTTATTACATAAATAACACTACTATTGCTAATTGTACATAACAAATGGAAATCAAAAAAAGCAAACATTTGCACCACAATAGACCAAATTGTTTTGTGTTTGTGTGTATGTTTTGTCTTTACCATTATACAATTCTACTTAAGATTCCATTGACTCTTTAAATGCCCCATGGTAAGCCAGGGCATATGTGAATATTTAACATGAGTTTTGTGGAGTCACATCTGAAGTCAATTTGTTGGGGGCCTTTCTAGTTTCTAGTTTCCAGTTATTGACAGATATCTAGAATTCCCTCTAACCTAAGATGCAGTTATAGTCCCTTCCATTTCCTTCCTTCCTTTGCTTTCTCTATTAGAAGTTAGTGTAGAATACATCATCACATAAGTGCTTGTTGCTTCCAGCAAAAAAAAAAAAGAAGGTACAGTACTGAAAACTCAGAGAAGTTTAAACTGGTGAAGGTTATCGTAGGCATTATGTTTCAGAGAAACATTAGTGCCCTAATGCTGCTGTAAGCATCCAGACTTGGAAGAAATACATATAGTGAGGATTACAAAATACAGCATAATAAATTCTGACTTTCTAAATGAAATTAGTCTCCTTGAACCA